TGGCTTTTTTTTTTATCGCGCCTCTTTTTTTTCGCTTTCACGGCTAATACACATTATCGACTGGCAACAGCATGGCGCCCGTTTAGACGGGTGGCCGCAAGGGAAATGGGAGGGAAGAATGCATGGACGACTCGAAACGACGGATACCCCTCTTGTGTTTACTCGATTACCCCCTTCTCCTTGTTGTTTTTGATTTGACTTCACTTCGTGTCACAATTCTTTTCCTGGACGAGGGATTCTTCTTCTTGGGGAATGGTCGGTAGTGTGGGAATTGGGCAGATGGTCTGGCTACCAACGGCTTCCTTTTTTTTTATTTTATATTTCGTGATTCAGCAGGGAGTTGAAACGAAGAGAAAAGAAAAACCCAAAACGAAAAGCCGCCAGCCAGTGGTGTGCCGCGAGTTTGATGTACGGGAACAAGAGAATGATTGAAGATGATATCTACGCTTATATTTATCTGCCTCACCACTTCTTACTTGCTGGATTGATGGAGATAGACTGGGTTTCCTGGCAAAATCCGTCGCCGGATTCGTATGTATGGAGAGAAACACGGATTTCACGAACTTTTTTTTATTACTTTTTGAGCAATTTATACCTTTTAGTCTTTTTACTGCAAATGCGTGCCATTGAGGGTGACTAGGAGGATGTTATCTACGATTTACACTAACACTCTATGTGAAGGAGGGATTCGGAGCTAGGATGGGCTTCTTTCCAAAGTACCCACAAGATGGATCATGCAGCACAGGAACGAGGCTTTTGGGCCAGCAGATGAAGGGGCCGCGGCGACGTATCCTCGATCAGGGCCATGCATGAAGGAACGGAATGGCTGGCTTCATTAGTTCAGATTGGATCTCTGGCTCGGTCGGGTGCGGCTATCGAGGCCCGCCTCCACCTCCGCATTCTGCTGCATCCCAAGGACCATCTGTGAAGGAGACCCTGGGCTGAGTCGGGTGCAGGTTCCCCAAGTGCGTCCGTCTCCCCCGCTCTGGAGACTGGACAGTCCTAAAGCTAAGACAGCTCTGAGGCTCCTTAGGCCGGTGGACCTCGGCATCTTTGTGCTGGTTGGGGGCAGCTTTGGGGGAGTCAATCAGATTGCTCTCTCGGCCGCCCACCTTGTATGGAGTTTTGGATAGCATTCCAGGCCCCGGCTCACCCCCGCGTGCCCGCTAAAACGTCACTGGGGGACGAACCGAGGCTGGCAAAGGTCCGAACCAGAGATGCGCCGGCCAGCCTAGGTGGGTGGTACCTTAATATTGTACCCCGAAATTCACCTCTCTACGACCGAGAACTTTGACGGCATCGGCGGACCTGCAACGACCTCGACTGACTACATATCTTCATCGGCAGCCGGTTTAATCCGACAAGTATCTCTACGAAGTGAGAACCTGTACTATTTAAGCCAATTGCGACTACAATCCGCGATACTCGACTGGAAATCAGCAGCGGACACGACCCTTGAGCTCAGAACCCAGTCTTTCCGCACTCCAAGGACGGCACAGCACAAGATGGCAGGACGCGTGCGACACCCAATCGACCAGCAGGCGCTGGAACGATATATCGAGAAGAATGTGCCGCAGATCAAGACGCCACTGGAAATTAAACAGGTACGTCTACGGCCCGCCTTCCGTACCAGCATTGCCTCTTCAATGCCTTGTTCTTTTCTTTGCCCGTGGTTAGAAGGAACGTTCCTTTCCTCGATTGACATTGGCCTTTTCCCACACATTACAGTTTGGCTTTGGCCAGTCGAACCCGACATACCAACTCACCGACGCGACGAACAAGCGCTTCGTGATGCGCAAGAAGCCCCCCGGAAAGCTTCTCTCCAAGGCCGCGCACAAGGTCGAGCGGGAGCACCGCATAATCCACGCCCTCGAGCCCACTGACGTACCGGTCCCCAAGGCCTACTGCCTCTGCGAGGACGAGTCAGTCGTCGGCACCGCGTTTTACATCATGGAGTTTCTCGACGGGCGCATCCTCGAGGACGCGGCCATGCCCGAGGTCGCCTCACCCGAGGAGCGCAAGGCGCTGTGGAAGGCGGCGACGCTGACGCTGGCGAAGCTACACCGGGTCGCGCCCGAGGACGTCGGCCTGCAGACGTTTGGCAAGAAGAGCGGGTTCTACGATCGGCAGATTCAGACGTGGACTACGATTTGCAAGAGCCAGGCGGCGGCGGTGGATCTGGAGACGGGGGAAAAGGTTGGGGATTTGCCGCATTTTGGGGAGATGGTTGCGTTTTTTAGCGATAAGAGTCGGCAGCCCAAGGACCGGGGCACGTTGATTCATGGGGATTACAAGATTGATAATCTCGTTTTTCACAAGACGGAGCCGAGGGTCATTGGTATTCTGGAGTATGTCTTCCCTGCCCCCCGTTCTTCTTTCTCGTTCTCTTCTTCCCCAGTCAAGTTATGAACTTGTCTCAAGGCTGACAACAATCTAGCTGGGAAATGTCCACCGTAGGCCACCCCCTCTCCGACCTCTGCAACTTCCTCCACCCTTACTTCACCGCTTCGCGCGCGGGAAGCGGTCTCTACGCCAACGACGGCTTCCTCCCCGGCGCTACCCCGGGTCTGCCGACGATCGAGGAGATTGTCGGGTGGTACACGGCCGAGGCGGCGCAGGCCCCCGCCGGTTCGCCCGTGGGCGGCGGGTGGACGCCCGCGGCGGAGCTGTCGTGGGGCGCGGCGTTTAGCCTGTTCCGGCTGGCGGGCGTGTGTCAGGGCATCGCGGCGAGGGCGGCGCAGGGGCAGGCGAGCAGTGAGCAGGCAAAGAGGTTTGCTGTTACGAGGGGCCCGTTGGCGGAGTTTGCTTGGGAGCTTGTTGGGAGGAGTCAGGCTGAGAGTGGGGGGAAGGCGAAGTTGTGAGGTGGGATGGGTCGGTGTATGTAGCCAGCGTTTGGGTAGATGCGAATCATGTAAGAGATTGGGTGATGCTGTGACATGGTGTTTTCTCCGCAAGTGCTTTGGGTATATTGTGCTTGATGACATGTCGTAAGGCAGAGTGAGTCAATAAGCTATATGACAAGAAGGTCTCAAGACGTGGAGTTCATAGACTATTATTACTATTACTGATACTTAACTTCAACGTTTCTAGATGTGACCCAGGGAAATCCAAGGACATTGCCCCGGATCATGTCAACACTAGAGTTTCTAGTTCGATACCCCTTTTCTGTATAGCGTCTACCGACATCCTTGGATCATTAACACTGATGCGCCCATCATTCTTGTTCTTGAACACGAAGGGCGGCAAAAAGGGATCGATTGACGCCACCTCTTCCCAGTCAAGAGGCAATGAACCGAGCCTCACATCGGTCTTCATAAGCTCACGCGTCTCGGTGTTGATGAAATACGGCATCGCCCAACCTTTGGTGACGGGAAGCGCATCTTTCCACGGCGGCTTTAAAGGTGGCTTCAAGGCCTCGCCGAGCATTAGCCCATGAACGAAACACGGCCCAACGACCTCGTATCGGCCGGGATCTCCAGGCCGTAGAATCAGTGGGAAGTCGCATCCAAGAATCACAGCAACTTGATCGCCTGGTTCTAGAGGTTAACCTCACACGATCGAAAGTGATTGACTACCTTAGAGGTAAGTCTTGAGATGGAGGGGACTCGCCTTCTTGCAGGCCTCTCGCAGAGACACCCATGTACCCTTCCGTGGTAACAAAGAGACATTCGTTCGCGAAGAAGCAATCTTTGAATGCCCGCGCTACCTCACCATCAAGTTTGTCTTTAGATAATGCCGATGTCAACAGCTCGCGAAGCCGCCGGATGGATGGAAGCGGATTATCCCCCAGAGCTCTGTCGCTGGTCCTACCGCGTACAAGGACTTCGACATATGCATCCATAGAAAGTCCTCCCGAGACGTACATGTCGTTTTGTGGATCTTTCGGTGCCCAATCTCGGACCACTTCCATGAGTTGTACGAATGTGCCGTTCAAGTCATCGCTAACACGACTGATGATGGCCACGCGTCTCCCGGTGACTTGTAGATGGTCAGCCGGCTCGATGAGCTTCACCACAGCACTGGAGCGTGCAGAAGCATAAAATCTTCGAATGCTCAAGTACCCTATGTTGGCACCTTCTACTGGTTGCTCCAGGTTTGGTACCCACGATGGGCACCCCTCGGGACGCGTCGCTATGCCGCAATTATTGATCATGTTCAATTTCTGGTAGACGTCATGTTCAGCTAAGACGAGCTGTGCAAATGTCTTCCAAGGAGGGAAAGAATAGTCCACCTCGATCTTGGCTACGATTCTGGGATCCATTAAGCCCAAAATTCCGTACACCTTGTCTCGAGGGTCTGAGCATTGCTGATTCCGCGCCCAGAGTAACAGGTGCTCACATGAAGCGAGCGGCGGTGCCATCAAGCCTCGTGCATATGGGAAGAGACGACGCCTAATATCAGTCTGGCAGCAGACTTGACTTCTGTCGGAGCACCAGTAATGCCTTGCGTACATCGACCCAGGCGATAGCGTCTCGGCCGCATTGAAGCACCACACGGTCGCACAAAAGAGCTTCCTGCAGAACCCAGACACGCTCGAACCATGGTCGATGGAGTAGCGAAGATATGGATTTCCAAGTCCTGTCCTTCCAGGGCAGAGGAACGTCGTCTCGCCACCAATCAAGCTGCTCGGCGTTGGGGGCATCTCCCCACCGATGAGAAATCACATATTCCACCTGTTTACTGAAATACTCCAAGGTCTCCAGCGCATGTTTGCTATCCTCAAACTCGGAGCCCAACCAGATTATCACCTTTTCGGAAAGTGGGTAAATCTGGCTCATCCGCTTGACTTGTCGCCCACGCTCTTCAACGTTGGCTTGGTTGATACAGATGGCATCGATCCACAATGTGCGCGGTTGATCCGCGTATCTAAGATGTCTCAGGGCAGTAGCTAGATTTTTGCGGATCCTTAACCAGGCTGGCGTGTTGTGAGTACTGGCTGGGTCGGTAATGTGAACGAATTCTTGGTCATTGGCAGTTCCCCAGGAATAGGATAAGGCCTCTTATGGAGGTACGTGCCACGCAAAGATGTCGCTCACAGAATGCTCTGGCATGGCGTATGCTTTCGAATCATATTCGGGATCTGGGTGTTTCCAAGAATTAGGGATTCCTGAGTGGCGTGGGCTCATGAACAGGTATCGCCCATCCAGAGTTTGATCCACCGTCCAGCCATCTGGAAGAGTTTTCTGCAATTCGCTCACAGGCAGCCTTTCGTCCTTGAAAGGTTCTTTTGGCTCGAGAAGTGGATAATGAAGAATGTTGCAGCGCAACTCGTCGCGGTAGCTGCCTGGCTGCAAGATGACCAGCCTCAAGTCACCTATTGTAGCTTGGAGTTCGGTGTAGACATATGAAGCCATTGCAGGCCACCTTATCAAATCCAGATATATTTGAAGGTCGCTTCTGGCAAAAGAAAAATCAAAGAACAAAGACCTGCTTGATTGAGTGAAACAACATGGAACTGGCAGTCCCCTCAGACAAACAACGGACCAGACGATAAGTGAGTTTGATGTGCTCTACGAGGCTGAGGATGGAGCCGCGGCCTGACATTACGAACATGCGAAAATTCAATATTACTGCGTAATAAAGCCGGGTACTTTAGCCGGTTACACAGAGCGGGCACCAATATGCTTTAAGCAGCATGTCGTCTGTTGGGTCCCATGGCCTGATCAGTCGGCAGGCTGCATCAGTTATCGGGGCACAGCAGAAGGCTTCCTATATTGAAACTCCCACTGCCTAACAATACTCGCGGTTGAAGTGTCATCACCAATCACTTGCAAACTATGAATAATTCGACATGAAAGGGGTAGACGACACCGATTCGCAGAGATTGACGGCTTCGGCGCGAAGAGCATTGAGCTCAGCCGTCCATCGCAAGCCTCGATTTCTCATCATTGGAGCCGGCCGGCGCGGAACCGCCTACGCTTCTGCAGTACGACGAGAGAGGCTGCCAGCCATCATTGCGGCGGTTGCAGAACCTTTACAATCGACACGGATTTCGTTTGGCAAGAAATATGTTTGGGATGACGGGGCACCACGAGAGGACCAGAGTTTCGACTCGTGGCAGGACTTTCTCGACTATGAGAGTAAGCGACGGCAAGCCGAAGCTTCTGGAGAGGAAGTCTATGCGGGTATTGATGGTATCATTGTCTGCACTCAGGACCAAACACACAAAGAGATACTGCAAGCCTTTGGACCACTCAAACTTCACGTCTTGAGCGAGAAGCCGATTGCAACATCTCTACAGGACTGCCAGGATATATACGTCAGCCTCGGCGGTGCAACACCGGAAACAATTTTTTCAACCGGTCATGTTCTACGATACAGCCCTCACAACATGCTTTTGAGGAAACTTCTCTTGGAAGACAGGGTGATCGGGGAGGTTATATCTGTGGAGCATACAGAGCCAGTTGGCTGATTCCATTTTTCACATTCGTACGTGCGAGGCAACTGGCAAAAGGAGTCAGTTGCGGCGCCAACACTCCTTTGCAAGGCTTGCTATGATATCGACTTTCTACTGTGGCTGCTCAGCTATAGAACGGATTCTAGTCAACCGGCCCATATGCCCAGCCTGATTTCCTCAGTTGGCAACCTATCACTCTTTACCCAGCGTCGAAAGCCCAAGGCAGCGGAAAACGCCACGAACTGCTTCTCTTGTCCTCACGAACAGAGCTGTGATTGGAGTGCCAAGAAACTGTACCTCGAAAAGCTCTATGACAAGGGAGAACGAGATTGGCCTATTTGTGTTGTTGTTCCTGACATAGAAGATATCACTGCTACATTGGGGACAGATCATGGACGTGCCGTCTTGGAAGAGGTTCTCTCTACAGACTACGACGCCTCTACACCAAGGGACATCATCGAGTCTAAACAGTGGTATGGTCGTTGTGTCTGGGAGTCAGATAATGATGTTCTTGACGATCAAATTGTCACTCTGACCTGGGATGACGACTCAGGCGCTGTGGGCAACGAGGAATTCACCGACCGCGGTCCGAAGACGGCGATTTTTCATATGGCGGCGTTCACCGAAGCCCAGTCCAAGCGGCGAGGCAAGATCTCGGGCACCCATGGAGAGATGCAGTACGACAGTAACGAGATCCGAGTCTATACCTTTGATCGATTTCGGGACCCGGGAGCAGCCAAAGTCTTCATCCCGCCAACAGCTTCTGGCGGTCATGAAGGTGGCGATGGCGGTCTGATGAACAACTTCTCTCGGGCTGTGGAGGCTGTCATTAATGGTGAGCTCAGCGTGGAGCAGGCCCAAGCGAGACATGTTGGCTGTACGTTGAAGGAAGCATTCATGAGCCATGCTATGGTCTCCTTGGCCGGTGAACGTGCTTGAGCTGAACAGAATAATGTCCACCCCTGGACAAATGCCGGCTTGCCATCAAGTTGACTTCATGTATGAAAGCCCAGTAAATTAGTATCCTTCGGCAACAACGCAGGATAGAAACTTATATCTTCACTAGGCTAGCGACTGAAGGATTCCTTCCTTACCTTGCAACTAGCCAGCAGGTGCTAGAATGGCATACCTCTAGTGATCTGGTTTTGATATTACCGCCGGAGAATTATCAAGCATGGCGTAAAAAGCCCAAAGAAATACAACAATGTATCGCGGCGACCACTGAGCAATTCTTGGTGCTTGCTGCTTCTCGTATTGCAAGTTAAAACCGAGTTGGGATAATCAACTCACCTGTTACTTACTTAGTACGTCACGCATTGCTGCTCTCTGCTGTCAAATACAAATTATTACACATTCGACGGGGCTGGGCTCGCAGAATGTTTTACTCTCAGAGAACGCTCTACTCCCTTTCGCCGATAAAATTATAACTGTCATTAAATAAATAAAGCTGAAGAAGTTCGACTACCTGAAGGTTCTCCTTCCACGATGCTTGATTATGATTAAATGATTAAATAATTGAAAGAACTCATGTTTGTCAGGAATATGTATTTGAAGTAGGTCTCTGCCCCGGCACCTTTACTCGGTTTATCGACGAGTATAGGGTTTCCTACCTCAGAAATAGTCAAGGTAGCTCAAGCCTATCCTCGTGTGGCTAATCGTGTCTCTGGCAACTTGAGTGGACAATGGTATGTGCCAAAAGGGGAATAAACTTCATCTCATCGGGCAATTCGTACATAACTCCTTCTTTCTCTGGTTAGAAATGGCGAGCACCAAAGTTGTTTCTGGTCCGTGGATAATTCGGGCCACGATCATCCATGTACGGGACCTCGGCGACACCTGCAAGCTGGAAGCGTGACTGCATTGACTCTCGACTTTTTTTTTGCTCAGAGCGAATCCCACATTAGGCATGTGAAGCTTGTAAAACGCATTTCCTCCTTACCGTTGTTTGATGCGCAGGATGCTGCCACCATTTCTACACAGTAAGTCAAAGCACCCACTTATGGGCCCCCCCCCCCCTTTTGGGCCCCCCCCAAAATCCCACCCAGCCCCCCGATTAAAACCCTACCCTTAATATATAAACTACCACAATAATTACAAAAATCGTCTAAATATATTTCTTTTTAGCATAATTATTAATTAATATATAATAGTCCTATATACCGAAAATAAGCTTTAATAAGCTTTTAATATTATTAAAAACGGTCTTTTTATTAAGAGGGCCTTAGTTAAGTTTAAAATTCTTAAAATAATATTTTAGAATTATAAAAAAGGCTACTAAATAAGGGTAAGGGTATTTATAAACCTTTAGAGGCTTTTTTTATAATAAAAAAACTAACTAGCTTAGTAAGTTCGAATTTAGTATACCCTAAATATTATACTAACTTATTAATAAATTAAAAAATTTACTAAGTAAGTTCTAATATTTTAGGGGGATACTAAATTACTTAAAAAGAGATAGATTAACGTTTTTATTAAAAAGAATTTATTAATAAGGGTTTAAAAAAGTTATTTAATAAATTTATATTATATTAATAAAATTATAACTAATATAATTAAATTATAATTTAAATTACTTAATATACTAAAGATTAGTAATATTAAATAAGTTAATAAATATAATATAAATAAGATTAATATAATAAAAAGTAAAAGAGTTAATAAGCTAATTTTAAATATAATAAAAGCTATAATAATATAGAAAAAAGAGCTTAGTTTACGTATTTAAGTAACGATTATTAAGTATATCTCTATTAATAATAAATTTATTAAACTACTAGTTATTTATAAAAAAAAGTTAGTATAATAATAATAGTTTTTATTTTAATTTAACTCTTACGATAGTTAGAAGTTTATAATAATAAATAATAGCTAAATAACTAACGAAACTACCCTCTAATAATTAAAAAAAAGTATTCTTATTATAAACTAAGACCCCCTTTATTAGGGGGCTTAATAAGCTAAGCTAGCTTTAATTATTAATACTAAATAAGTATAAGAATTATATAATAATAGAATTTATATAAGAATATTATAAAAATAATATTTACTTATTATTTTTATTACTATATACTTCCTATATTCTCTAGTTATTAAATATAGCTATTTTTAATCTTATTAAATCTTATTATAAAAAGGAGCTTAGTAAAGAGGATATAATAAATAATTTTATTATTATTAAAAAGTAGTATTTCTTAAGCTATTACTAATTTACTTATTTAACTAATCTAATATTATTAAATATATAAAATAAATAAAAAATAACTAAATTATAACTACTTAATATAACTAAGCTATTTTTTAACTTAATAATCTTATTTATATAAGTTATACTATTTAAAAAGGGTATAAAAACTAAATAAACGACTAATAATACTAATAAACTATTTAACTAAGTATTAATAACTTTTATTATTAACTAATTAACTCCTAAAAAAACTAGCGAGCTTAGTAACTATTTAAAGCTATTTATAAAACTTAGTTTAAATAATAATACTTAATAACTACTATTTAAAAAATAAAAAAGGTATTTAATAAATAAGCTTATTACTTAGCTATATCTTAGTACTAAATTCGATTTTTAAAAATAAAAATTAAGTATATAAGGCTTAAAAAAAAGAAAAGTATATTAATAAACCTAAATACTAAGTTTATAAGTATTTAGGATATATAAAAGGCTTAAGAAGACTTTAATAACTATTTAGTTAGTCTTAATTAATTCGTAAGGGTCGAATTACTTAGGGAGAATAATAACTATATTATTATAATAGTAAAAGATAGTTAATTAATTAAGTATAGTTAGTAGCGATGTTTTAATACTATGTTTGTTAGGGGGCCCAAAAGGGGGGGGGGGGCCTATAAGTGGGTGCTTTGACTTATGACAGTTTAAAGCAGTGGCACCAGACGTAGTGAGGTTCAACAGTCTCATCAGTGAGGGACATGTTCATCTCTCAATAAGCTTGATAAAGTCTACAGTCAGCTTCAGTGCAAAGTCCTCTGAATTTTGAGCAGTTCACGTATGCCAAGAGGAATGAGCCGTTCGCCCGAAGGAGATGAGAGGACTGAAGTAAGGTAGGAGGGATCTCGAGGAGTGCACTTAATAACAGCCCGCATCGACCACGTGCTGCACTAATAGCAAGGAGACGCCAGTATGCAGGAGCGACAGGAATTATGGAGTCACAAAAGTCCTCATATCTCACACAGAAAGCATCCCCAGAGTCTTTCATGGCGCAGTCCACATAAGATGGTTGGGTGTGGAAACCCTCTCATTTTCAAGGGGAAGAAGGCGAGAGTTTTTGGCAGTCCAACGAGAGGAACGCTGCGTAGGTATTTTGGGTCTTTGAGTGTGCCGGCCCGTGGTATTTAAACCTCTACCCCAGTCAGAGCCGTTGAACTTTGTCTCCCCACCAAGTCAGTCATCAATTGGCAAGACAGCGGGACATTCCCTTCCTTAATCGTTGGATGGGTCAAACAGTGGCCGGGTGCTTGTTTCAAAGTCGTGCGATGACGACGGTTGTGGGTGGTAGTGGTGCTGGACCTAGCGTTTCCCTTTTGCCCGGGCAACCCTGAAGCGGCCATGATATGCGAGTTCGCTGCGCTTGTAACTTGGTAACGCTTAGTAAGTTACTGCTTGCGAAGGACAAAATGCCCTGGAAGTTGGAACGGACCTCTCTGGCATGCTCCAACAAGAGTGACACTAGGCCGATTAACTCTCCCCACCTCAATATGGCAGCTCCCGCTTCAATTTATTGCTTGCCCCTAATTCAACTCTGTTGCTGTACCTTAATTCCGAAGCACGTCTCAAAGCCCGGAAACTACAGGAAATCCCTTGAGGATCGTCCTCTTCGGCCTGGTCTCCGGGGCTGACAAAGCTTGTGCAGAGCAGTGTCGGGGGAGACTTCCCGACGCCAATCCCGGATCTACAGGGCGCCCAACATCAGCTAGCCTCTCGACTCCCACCAAGGTTGCAACGACAAGAGAAGGGAGAAGTGGTCCGGCAGCCGAACATATTTGTTCCCGAAGACAAGAATATCGTGGAGCATCATCAAGTCTAAATACCCCCTCAGTCAACATCTCGAACGCTCAAGCCTGAAGCGTCGCCGCAAGAAAACCTGTCATTGGACTCCCGTGCGTTACGAATTCGTCTCAGAGTGCGGGCCCATCTGAACTTTTCTTTCCTTCGGGCGGGAACGAAAAGCTGCCATCGGAGGTTCGCCGCCGCGACACCTTCTGGACCGCCATGATGGAGAGAAGAAAGGGGGGGGGGGGGACGATGGAGAAGGACGGATCCAGACTGTGCTTCAACTTTTCTCCATTGCGACTGGTAATGATCCCTCTCCTTCTCATCCACTCTCTCGTGGGCGCAGCGTTATAACCCATCATGGCCCATCTTCAAAAGCCTGAAACGCGGTTGCAGCCCCGTCTTCGTCTGGACTCCCAGCTCAACATCTGCCCATAATCGATGCATCCCCGGCCGACATGACGGGATGGTCGCCCCCCCTGTCGCTCTCGTTGCCCTATCCGCCCCTTGACCAGTCACTAGGCGTGGCTAGCAAGGACGCAGACATTGGGCGACACAGCCATGCCCCCACGGAGAAGACTCGGTCTTGGTCCTTGTCTTCGAATGGGCGACCTCGAGACTTCAGCGCAGCCTCCAAGAGTCTCCACGAGTCTATAACCCGCGTAACGCCCCCGTCCCCACCTGACATCTCCACCCACGCGACGGCATCCGTTCCAGAAGATCGTCGGAGCCGCGGAGGGGATCTGTGCTAGCCCGGGGTCCCTCGCCTGCCTTACCCAGCCTGCCCAGAACCTTTGAGGAAACACGGGCAGGAAGAGCCGCAGTCTGCAGAAAGACTGGATAGTTTAGGCACAAGGCACAGGCACAACGTTCACGGTTCCTGAAAGTCTGTTGCTCTCATGCCCATGTGGTCCATTCTGGG